CCTTCCCACCAAAGTGGTACCTATTTATCTACTTGCATTGTCATGCTTTTGAACTGCTAGGTTGACAGACGCTGGGACTAGTCATGCAGCACCCCCCGGGCATCGAACTGTCAACCTGCTAATCTTGCAATCAAAAAGGGTGTAATTAGCAATAATATATGTGACCAGACACTTGCATAATTTTAGTTAGCTCTTTATCCTCTTTATGCTTAAAAAAAGTCAGAACGTACACTTGATTCTGATGGTGTGGATATTCAAGCAGAGTTAGTTGTTGAATTTATTGCTGTAGTTTTTAGGCTTTTGGGGTTTTTTAAGAAAGATAAACAGACAATGTTTCTGTTTTTTGAGATCATTCAGCAGCCATTCCTAGCATTGACAGCAACATTTTATTCTCACCCAAAGGGTGAAGTTTTTTTTAAAAAAATCCAAAGTATATTACTGTAAAAAACAAAAACATAACAAAGGTATGTTTCTTGCCATTCATACCAGCAGCCCTTACCCAGTCCTTTTACTCCTCATTGGATGGAAGGAGGGAGAGAGACAGTCCATTCAGCTATTTAGAACATTATTTCTTTAAAAAGAAAGCATGCCCACATGGATCTCACAACATCCAGAGCTAATAGTGACCTAAGGCATTTGAATGCTGATCTGCCAAATTGCCTGCCCAGCTTCCTTCATCCTCCCTACCCTTCCTGCTGGCTTCTACAAGAACTATAGAGGTTCTTATTGTTTGTTGTTGTCTTCCTTCGAGTCATTTTCGACTTATGGCAACCCTAGGTTGAACCTATCATGGGGTTGTCTTGGGAGGTTTCTTCAGAGGGAGTTTGCCATTGCCATCCTCTGAGGCTGAGAGAATGTGACTTGCCCATGGTCACTCAGTGGGTTTCCATGGCTGAGCTGGGATTTGAACCTTGGTCTCCAGAGTCATAGCCTCGTGCTCAAACCACTACATCACACTGGCTCTATGTGGATACAAAAGCAGCAGCAAGAGATTCAAACCAGTAATAAATTAGGCTTTCTGTTTCAAGAATTCTTGATTCTTTGTAGAAGTCTGGAAGAACCTATGAGGCTCCTGCCCCTTATTCACCCACTTATCCCACTAGATTCTGTCCAAATCATCTCTGCCACCATATGTGAATGTTTCCACAATTTCATCACTGCCACAAAGAGTGAGGGCTTTCCCTTATCCCCACCTCTACACCAATGTAAGAACCTCTTCCTGCCTCACTGCTGTGGTCACCAAATGTGGGAAGCTACTAGATGTCCTCAAAGTTACTGTGAGATATGCAACTTTTGTTCCCATTGGACACCAACTCTCTCTATTCTCTGCTGCCACCAGAGACATCATGTCTGAACCCAGTCATGTATATAGCATTTCTGGAGTCCAAAAGATATGATACAGGAAAAACAATACTTTATTAATGGAAGTTGGATAAGACAAAACAGATTAATAATGTAATACATTTGAAGCAACTATTTCACTCTCACTCACATTCTTCTCTTAAAATTACTAATTCAGATTCTTAAACCCCACTCATTAGTTCCTAAACCTGACTGACTTAACCCTTAATTCTCACTCATTCATCCCACACACACACACACACACACACACATTTCCACACTCTTCCCCAGTTCCCAACTTATGTCTTTAACTACCCAGGCTAACTTTCAAATCCTCATCTTTATTCAACCATTACCCCCATCACCTCTCATTCTCAATATTCCCTTCACTCATCCTCTCCCACCAGCTCCTCATCTGATTACCTCTATTATTCAATACAAACAATATAACAAAACCAAATTAGCTTATTGTAAAACAACATTTTCTGCAAAAGTCCATGACATCACAGAGCCCTACAGCATGTAGCTAGAATCTAGCAATATAATATTCCAGTTTTCACTTTCAATCCTTTGCTTAATAAGTCTTAAAATTAGATTTGCGTTTTGCACTGACACAACACAGTTTTTTTTCCAGTGGATTTTGTTTTATAACTCCAGAACTGCACACGTATTATTATCTTTATAATATGATGTCCTTTCTTTTGTGCTTTGTTTTTATTGACATTGATCTAATATTCTTGATCTAATATCCCAGGCATCTCTCTGTGTGTAGAGTTGCTCTGCATTGAATTTTATAATCCTGAATAATATATTGGTCAACTGCAAATATTTGAAATCTGCCAACTGTTTCTTAGTTTGTGGATGACATGTAAGACAGCAATGTCTGCCTGTGCATAAATATTATTGCATCTGTAAGAGCTATTTTATCTTTGCTGTTTCCTTTTAACCATTTCTATGTTA